TTTCCGTTTTATCTTTTCAATCAACAAAAGAGAAACATTTTTTTCCCTTTTAAACTTTTAGCAGTTAATTTGAAACACTCCGTACAATTTTTAAAAATCATACAAAAGTGTTTTACTTAATATTTAAACAATATAAATTTAGTCACCAAAAAGATACATTCCTTGTTTATTTTTATACTCTTTGTTATCACCTGATAATTTGAAACACCTTATAAGATGTTAAAAAATAATGCAAAAGTAATTTCCTTAATATTTAAATAATATTAATTAATTTTAATGAGGTTTCTTAAAAGATTAGATTTTGGCCAGAATTTTTTAATTTTGCCCCACGGTGCGTCGTATCACATTGTTATAAAATGGTTTACTGGCAAAATGTGGCAAAGGAACAATAATTAGGAATGGAATTATATTATGTTTAATATGTATAGAGATTTAGAACATACGTAGGCAATTATAGGTGTAATATAATTTATCTAATAAAACTGTATTACATAATTAGCTATTTAAATGTAAATAAACCATTATATTTAATAATTTTAGGACCAGCAGTCCATTCACCTCTAATTAAAGATTATAAAATCGGTAGATTCTTTCGTCAAAAATCGGTAGAAATTGGTAGATTTGAAAAAAAAGGCAAATTTGAAAGAGGAGGCAAATTAAAAAAAAATATTTAAAATTGAAAACAGACATAATTTGAATTTTACAAAAAATACAATAAGAAAAATATTTTTTTTGGTAAATGTACAAAAAGAGAATAACACAAAAACATTAAAATATAAACACTTTGGGACCTTGGGTCCATATTCATGAACAGATCTCAGTCAAGTCCGACTCAGCTGAGTCGTCCTTGAACGAAAATCGAAGTTCGGTTACATCTCGTGAATTTAGAGATGGGTACTAACAAATTCGTTAATGTACTTAACAGTTATAGATTTGCTACTCTCCATCTCCAAATTCCAGTGTAACACCGGAACCAACTGGTACTTTAGAGAAGTTGTAACCGAACTTCGATTTTCGTTCAAGGACGACTCACCCCCGTTCCGACTTAGCTGTTCTGTTTATAAATATGGACCTAAGTAAAAAACAGGCCATATAATATTGTAAAACATAGATAAATAAATAAGTTATTTATAAAAAAACGTATAACCCAACATCAACTAATCAACTGTTGCCCGATTCTCATTAGTCATTCGAAATTTTCTTGTAAAAATTCTTACCCAAAACACGGCCAGAATCCCAAAAATAAAATAAAAAAAGTGCAAACATATCAATTCTGAAATAGTTCTCGATTTGGGTCAGAACCGAAGTTACTGTTCGAGAATGGTTATGGAACCATTCCCAAGAAAAACCAAAACACAGAACTTACATGTTCGGAACTAAGTTCTGGCGAAACCAAAGGTTCTGGAAGAGTTCTGGAACAGTTATGAAAGTGATCCAAAACAAAGATCATGTGAACGCTTATGAGATTGCTGTCAAAAGTGTTGCATACCTTTTTGAGTATCAATTAATGAATTGTTAATAAAGAAAAGAAGTTTATTACAAATGTATTATAGAAAACATAAAATAGTGTAACTTATTGAAAAAATCAAATCCTGGTAGATAAGGTCTCGTAATTCTGTATATCGGTAGAATGATTCCAAAATCGGTAGATCTACCGAAAAATCGGTAAGGTTGGCAACACTCACGCGAAACAGCAAATAGCACAGCTTAACAATACAGCTAAAACACTCTCTTGGCGGCAACGGTTTGCGTCGATTTCGTCGCGCATCGCTTAAGCTCCGCCTTAGAAGGGAAAAGACGGTTTTGGTGTTCAGAAGCGTACTTAGGTAAGGTGTTGAGTCGTGCGTATAATTTCGTTGATTGTATAATTTCGTGGAGCCTATAATTTCGTTGATTGTATAATTTCGTGGAGCCTATAATTTCGTTGATTTTGTTTGAGTTAAAGGTACTGTTATTATTTTGGTGACTCTTTAACTATGAGTAGAATAAGTGAAAAAAAAAGACATCATTCTGTTTGTGCAGTCAAAAGCTGTTTTAATAAGGGTTATACCTGCAAGAAAACATTCTTTAGTTTTCCCAAGGACCCAAACCGATAAGTACCACATTATAAGAAATTTTAATTGTTAAAAATATAATTTATACAGGGTATCCCATTAGTGCGTTATTGTTCATTATTTTGTTGTAGACACGCAAGAAAGTTTTAAATAAAAGTTATATGGATTTGAAAAATACCTACATATTTTAAAAATATCTTTGGATATACAGGGTGTCATGTTTTTGCCTGGCAAATTAAAATGTATGTTTTTTAAATGGAACACCTTGTATTTTATTTTATGATAAAATTATTAACTCCCTAAATTATTGTAAAGACGAATTGATACAGAAAAAATTTATCAGGTATGTGTGTGGTTACCTTTTAATAAAAGCCTTGCGGATCCACTTCTCTGCGATACCTGTCTTAAATATAACAAAGATCACGTTGAATTAGATGATTTTTCTTTTTATTGCTTTTTAAAGGCATATGATAACGCCAATCCAGATACATTTGGAAATCTGCAACTGTCAAATGATGAATTTGTAGAACTAATATTCAATATTGAAAAGATATTTCAAAATAATTTTGAAGAATTGGCTACAAAAAATAACATTTGTACCACACTTTTAGAATTAATTAACCCAATACCCTTTAGTCATCCATGCTAACGTTTTCCAAAAGAATAACTTATTTTATTGTATGTTTAATCTCAATAACTAAAAAATATACTGACAATTAGTTTGACAGAATTGTCATTTATTTAAAATTTTAAAAATAATAGCAGTCGGTTGATCAAAATATGAACGGTGATTGACGAATTTATTTTTTTTTGCAGTGTTCTCACTACCTAGAATGGATATGAAATATATTCGTTCAATTGAAGGCAATAGCATACTTTTTCGTTTTGTAATCTGTGCATGGATATTAGCCAATCTATGCACATACTACAAAACGAAAAAGTATGTTATTGCGTTCAACTACGAATATATTTCATATCCATTTTAGGTAGTGAGAACACTAACAAAATTAAATCTACAAATCACAGTTCATATTTTGGTCACCCAACTCCTATTTTTTTAAATAAGTGACAATTCTGTTAAACTAATTGTCAATATATATTTTAGTTATTGATATTAAATATACATTAAAATTTTTGTGTAGACTCGATAAATAATAGCATTTTTGTTTTTATTGTGTCCACATTTAAAAAAAACAAATTTTAATCAAACTACATGATACTAATTTAATTACGAGTATTAAAACTAAAGTCCTGAAAGTTTCGGTGAAGATGAGGACAGAGCATCTGCCTTCCACGCGAAAAGCCCGGGATCGAATCTAGGCCGAGGACTAATTAATTTTTCATGTTAATTTTATTTTATAAATTAGTCAACTTCGTAAATTATTTTAAAATTAGTTATTTTGTCTAAATAACCTAAAATAATTTTTTAAATTTGTAGATTTTCGTTAGTGGGTCGTAGAAAAAATATACTGACCATATCGAGTGGATTGTTCATATCACAATCAGACGATTGAGTACTCCGCATACGACGTCGTGCTCAAACTTCGTCTTTGTGTGATATTGCTATCATATCCACCCTTGTTGAACAAACTATAATTTATTTGTTTTCTTGGTTTAAACCAAAACTTAAGTTTTACATCAGAAATAGGAACTAAATTAATTTACTTTTCAAGTTTTCTTGTAAAAATCGATATTAATTTCTCCAAGTACAAATTTAGTACCTACCTAAAATAAGTACTAATTATGTAATATCGTGTAATATTGTAATTCAAATTTCACATTACTATAAAGTTTCAAAATTCCCTACTTCGGTATGGTCAGATAAAAATTGAATATATTATATTAATAAAAACTGTCAAAGTATTACTTCTACAAATCTGTATTTCAATTAATAAGAATACATCTAAATATAACCAATATTGTTAAAATAAAAGCACAAATTCTTTATAATTCCAAAATACCATAGAGTACCCAGACCTCAGTCGAAGCATTCGTTTATCTAGGTATAAACCCTTTGCGCGAAGAGTAACACTTGCCAGAGACACGGGGTACCACTTGATTTGCATCCACGAGCGTGACACAATTCTTTAACAATTGAAGCCCTTGGTGTAAAAAGGATCCAAGCCACAATTTGTCGTGAAGTGACTGTTTTAGCTCAAAACATTTGTTATCGAGGATTTTACTAGCCACATACAAATTATTTTACCTCTAATCCGAAAGATGTGCTATTTTTCGTAATATTTATATTTAAATAATGTTTCTAATTATATTTGACAGATTTAAAACAAATTAAAAATTTAATTTCCCAAAACTTACTTAATATGGCATGTAACCAACCTTATTACGCCAAGGTTTTCAATTTTTTCAATAATAAAAAAATTATTTAATCCGGGCCCGACTTTTCCCTCGAATCTAACAGAGATAGCACCATTCCGTCTTGCTTGGTTCTCGACCGCCAGATCAAAGACGCCGACACGGAGTTGTGGAGCTGTATTGTATAAGCTGTGCAAATAGGTTCTGGAGGGGGTATAGGCTCTCTGACCCATTCATGCTTTTGGCATTAAAAACTTTGAAATGTATATTGTTGCCGGTGCACATAGGCGAAAAACGTAAAATTTGCACATTTGCATTTTTGGCATTAGAGGGACAATACTCGTATTATAATTTTAGTTTAGTTAATTGTCATGTAACAATATGTATTTATGTAAAAGTATTAGTAATATTTATATAAATATATAAATAAATAAATAGTATTCAACAGTTTTTTATTCTTTGTCTTATAGACACGCAGTTATTGCAAAATTTACTCGCTTGAATGGTACACTTGTAGGTAGAGAGAGGGTACAGGGTCAACGGCAAATAAATAAACTCCAACACTATTCAAATTACACGCACCTATAATATATTTAATTTCTTTATAGTAATATTTATTTCTTTTTGTTTTAGAGCTACTCTTAGTGAGCCCGTTAAAGTGCCGATAGATAGGCTAAATTATCCAGACAAAGAATACAATCAATATGAAAATAGAGAATTGGAACACCCTAACACGTAAGTATTGAAATAGGTACTTGTCTAAATATTTCGTGAAAATAAAATTATAATTTATAATATAATTAGTAAATTTGATAAAATCAAACCCTAAAAATATGCTTTACGAAAAACAGCTCCAAATCTTATAAATGGATCATGCATCAAATAAAATAAGGCGATGTAAGAGGTTATTTGCATAATATACAACAAGAAACTCTATGCCAGCTTATACGGCACAGGGAGTCAATTCTCGAAATATTTGTTTATGGAACGTTTACAAACGAGAATTTTTGAACGATGTCATTCATGTGTTAAACGACAAATACAATTCTCGAATTAACAACAAATGAATGTGGCAACGTTGGATACACGAATCTGCTCGATGTGTTCGAATGTCTAACGTCAATAGAACTTCATGCTTCCTTTGTTATTTATTGAAAACTAAGGAAGATGCAAAATGTAGTAAACATGTATGCATTTGAGTGTGTTGTGCATAATAATATATTCAAGTAATAAATTGGCGCTATTTTTTGTTATTGTTTATAGTAATATTGTACCTAATATTATTTGACTGAGATAAGTACTATGAAATTGAAAAAAAAAGTGATCAAGGGAGAACAGAGAAAAATACTGAAAGTTTATGGTGAAAAATCCACATATAAATTTTCGTCAAATTACGAAAGTAGATTATGCTAGTCTCTGGATAAATAAAATTCAATTACAGAGGCTGTAAAATCTTGGGAGAATATATATATTATTATAAGTATATTTATAATACAATAAAGTAATCTATTAATCACTATAAGGCAAAATTAAAAATATAATAAATTTCTTAATTAATTTAACAAAAAGGCGCTTTTAAATTCATGGACAAATTTTGCAGAATTGACAAAAATATATAAAATATGAGGAAAAATTTTAAATTTATTAAAAAGGTATAGAAAAACACGAATAGTTTATATAAAATTTAATATACATAAAGACAAAATAAATATATAAACAAACCCTTGTAAATAAAAATATAAAATGTATATATACACAATGAACTTACATAGGTATAATTTTCTTAATGGATCTTTACAAATTTAATGTAAATATATTATTTCTTTTATAATTTTCATTTTGGAATCGCATATATCTAAAAATTTTATGAATTTAAAATGTATTAAAAGTAAGAAAATACACTCCAACCGAACATTTAATGAGTGATAATGTTTCCTATTTACATAATTTCATTCTTTATTGCTGCTGGACGAACTATAGCTATGTTATCAGTCAATAACCCCTGTAACTCCAGGAAACTCGAATTACTGGAAAAGCTAAAAAAAAATATGATACAAAAATTCAATGATTAAATTAAAGATAATACCTTACATTTCCCGAATAACTTTACTGTCTTCTAGTGTTGCTGGAGCTTTAATTTAACGATTTATGATAATTCGTTGTTTAAGGCTCTTGAGACTTCTTTAACACAACGACTTACAGAAGATTGATTCACTCACAAAAATACGGTAGAACCTACATCTAAGTGATAGCTCCCAGAAGCAAGTATCTAAAATAATTACAATGTTAACACGAATAGCTTTTAAAACTTTGTCGTTTACATACCTTTGTTTGTTAATCAAGATCGTTTCATCTTTGAGGTGCTATTAAATACGAATCTAACATCTTAATATTATTTCTCACTGGCGAAAATATTTTATAAACAATTCCATAGGTTAATTAGGCATTTTACGATATTTTATAATTAATAAAAGTATTTAATAGAAGGTTATGTTTACACGTACTGAAGCTGAACGAAAATCGTTGAACTATTGAACGTATTGAACGACGTCTCCCGACCACTCTTTGTTGAACAAACATACGAGCGATTAATATGAACGGACGCGTTCACTAAAATTGATTCGAGAATTGCACTAATAAGAAATCCTCGTTCATGACGTCATGAACGGGGTACGCTCGCTGAACTAATATTTCGAGAATTGACTCTCTGCTTACGTTACAATACGATCGGGTCGTTTAAACTGACAACGTTAGATTTCATATGCACGTAATGGAAAACGTTCAGTGGCCAACACCGTATAGTTTTTTTGATAGTAAATAACCTCCCCTGTTGCCTTACGTGTCTTTTTATCCAACTGTTGCAGCAACGTTGACATCGGTACGGTATCTGCATGTCTTTTTTTTTTTCATCAATCTATCAATGATGAACAGTGGTGTCTTTTTATCCAATGTTGCTGCAATCGATGCAACACCAATCGATCAGTTTCAGTGCATGGTTTTTTCCGTTTTTTCGATTAGATGTGACAACTGACAGCTGGCTTACGGGAATTAAACAGAATTAAAAATTTAATTAATTATTTAATTGTTTTATTGTGGGAACAACCGAAAAAATGGGATTTTAAAAATACTTACTTTCAAATTAAGGTACATTTAAAAAAAAATTATAAACACAACATTTAATCCAAAATGTCAACTGTTATTTATTTTAACGGTTAACCATAAATAAATCGAATACAACACAAGGCGTTCAAGGTCTCATCGTGAAACAACGATTCCAACAAACCGATGGAAAAAAGATGCACGTCTTACTTCGTTTGATTTATAACCTAAGAGATACCCTGTATATAAAAATAAAGACATTACATTTAATTTTTTAAAGTAATTCAACTCGACATTTTTTTACTTTCTAAATGATTGTTTTCCAATTTCAGCCATATTTTATAATGTATAATTATAACAAAGTTTGTTTTAGTATTTATGTATCATAGACCATCCCAAACCCAAAATCGTACATAATCGGATCTTTATCGCACGCCGTGCGTATAAAGGTTGCTAGATAACCGCTTCAATACATAAGATTAGATTATGTCAGATTTTATTTTGAACTGTCAAATTATTTAAATTGTGCACAAGTTTACCTAAAACAAGTAACATGGACAGAAAAATTATTTTAATAATTAAATGAAATGTCAAATGATAAAATTCATGGACTTTATTTGCATTTTTCAATTAAAATGATTGTAGTTATTACTACTATTACTATTGTAATTACGCATTCATACTAAAAAATATGGTATGACACAATGCATAATCGCCTTTAAAGCATTCGCAACGTTAAGGCCACCCCGCTGTGCGTCGTAGCCTTAAACTCGTTGCTCATGCTTTAAAGGCATTATGCATTAGTGTCATAATATACAGAGATTAGGGACCTTATCTCTGATAATATACTATTCTATAAAAACAAGGTAAAAATTATTTAACTGATTGTTGCATAACGTGACGATTATTATTATTGTTATGTTTTATTTTATACTGTTTAAACAACCAGAACAACAATTTTTTATATACCTACGTGTTAAATAATTATTTTTACTATCCAATTTCCTGTGAAAATAGTTTTTGATGATGACATTTTTGCATCCGTAAATATTATTTTCAGTAACATGTAAAATTCCACGATTTTTATATCTTATCTTATAGAGTTGAAACTAGTTTAATTAATCATTTATGTTCTACCTATTGAATATATTTATGAATTCTCATGAAATATCATTAGATATTCAGGTGATATTTTCGATAATAATCAAATTGTATTTATTCGAATAATAAACAAGATTAAGTAATTGCTTTTTCTATCACACTGCCTAAATTGTCACGTTTCGTGCATACAATAATCGATTAGAAACACTGCTTCCTGGTTGAGTCGACCAGAAAAATTGCAAAGAAACATTTGGTCTATAAAATAACATTCAAACGCTATTTAATTTATTATTTAGGCATTCCAAAGACCTGTCAAACAATAGTTGCCCGGGAAGAGCTCGTATATCTAAAGGGGTTTCGACATAATCTTCCATCTTGGACGCTATTTTTATTCGAAATAGTAGTCGCCAAGCCTGCCAATTTATGAAAAATATATAAGCGGTTTTTTAAATTAAATGCATCATATGTTGCAACCCCTTAGATATACCAACCCTTCCCACCGATTTCCATTTTGTTTGGAATGCCTAATAGTTAAAAACGTGAGCGACTAATAAAATAAATCTTCAAAAACTATACTAATAAGATGTCAGTATGATGCAAAGGTAATAAATTCGTTAATTGGAAAATATGTTTCTTTTGAAAACAATCCAAAAACACGTTAATTTTAATTTTTGAAAAGTCGTCTCATGATATACAAGTAAAAGATGTTACGTCACCACTGTTGGCGTAATGACGTAATCGATTATTTTTAATACAAACAAGTGTCATTAACACCTCATTTTAAAAGTATTTATTTCTACAGGGTCAAACAAAATTATGTATTTAGTAAAATACACTACGATGTTTATTTATTGTATTATATTTAACTAAATATGTATTTTGGTTTACCCTGTAGAAATAAATATTCTAATAATTATACCGTTAAATAGAATATTAGAAGACCTTCCAAATGAGGTATCTTATGACCCCTGTTTGTATTTAAAAAATCATCCATTACGTCATTACTTCAACATTGATGACATGACGTCTTTTACATGCAGGGTGAGTCATAAGTAATGGGTCAAATTGTAACTGTAGATTCGGAAGGCAAAAATAAAACTATTTTACTTAACAACAATGGGTCTGACATCACTCCTTTCTAATCTACAGGCTGTTGTTAAATATATTTTTGTTAATAAAGAAGCCATTTTTTGAGGTACAGCGTAACAAAAACGAGAAATGATTTAACTTGGAACGAAAGACCGAAAGCCGATAGTAGTATTAGGACGTCTGCACGAAAGCAATACTGAGGCCCCATAGGAAGGGCCTCAGTAATATTAGATTGTAATGAAACAAAAATTAGGAAACAATAATACAAAATTATTTGTTTATTTTAACGAAACGTATGCTGCTTAATACATTAATAATAACGGTAACAAATCTGGTATTTAAATCCAAAAAGGAAGATTGCGAAAATTATAGCATTTACTGGATAGGTACCTAAAATTTAATGTGTTAAAGCACAAGTTTTCCATGGAATTTTGACAGCAGCACAATGTTGAGTAAAAATCTGATGTTTCTGAAACAATTTGTTTGTTGTTTCTGTTATCGAATAATTCGAGTTAATTTGATACATTAGTGAAAATGCCGAGACATAATCTCTATTCAAATGAAGAAATGATTTGCTTTTACGCAAGAGAAAATTTTTCTGGACATTCAGCGTCTAGAAAATATCGCGAATGGTAACCAAACCACAAGACATTTCAAAATATTTACAACCGATTGGGCGAAACAGGCTCGTTTCGCCGAAAATACCATACAGGGCATTCCAAAATTATTAACCCACAGCAGGAAGATGAAATTTTGGTAAGAGTAGCAGAAAATCGTGAAGTAAGCACTCGTTGATTATCTGCAACTACCGGAATAAGCCAATCATCGGTGATTAGAATTTTGCACAAGGACAATTTTTACCCATATCATTTTATACCTGTGCAAAATTTGCTTCAAAGAGATTATAGTCATGCCTGGGAAACTGAAAACTCTCATGTAAACAAAGAAAGACATTTATTTTCCAGTTCGAATTTAAAATAAATGTCTGGTGAGGTTTAATAGGAGATACATTGCTGAGTCCATTTGAATTACCTCCCAATTTAAATGCTGAGTCATATTTAAATTTTTTAACCAATGACTTAAACGATACTTTGGATGATCTTCGATTACAATCAAGAAGAAAAATGTGGTTCATGTAGGATGGTGCACCTCCGCATTTTTCACTGGTTGTACGTGATTACTTGAATCACATTTTCCCTCGCCGTTGGATTGGTCGTGGTAGTGAATTTCAATGGCCACCTCGCACCCCCGACTTTAATCCACTGGATTTTTATGTGTGGGGTTACATAAAAACTATTGTTTATTCTCATCTATAAATTTCAGAGACGAGTTATGAAATAGAATTGTAAATGCGGCTGATTCAATTAGAAATAATAACGCCACATTTTTTAAGATCAGACGATCCTTAAGTAAACGGGTACAGAGGTGTATAATATGAGTTGGTGGTGGCCATGTTGAAAATCTTTTGTAGTATTTAGTATTTTAAGTTGAATGTTAACAATATCTGAAGATTATGTGGGATGTATGTTTTAGGTAAATTCGTTTTAAGTAGTTAAGTAATGTTGTTATGGTTTTTGTTCAAGTGTTTTATGTTGTCTTTATTTTTAGGTTAAAATACCAGAATTTGTTATCTTTATTATTGGTCTGTTAAGCAGCATACGTTTCGTTAAAATAAACAAATAATTTAGTATTATTGTTTCCTAATTTTTGTTTCATTACAATTTAATATTTTCATAAAATAAATACAAACTATCTCAAAATAAAATTAATTTTAGGAACGACCAACGTTTTAAAACACCCTGTATACTATTTTTGGCTTACGTAGAGATTTGAGAATACGATGTTAATATTATTAATACGTAAATTGTTAATTAATGAGGGGCAAACAATTTTAAGCTGTTTTCTTCTCTTCAATATGGCGTATGTGGTGACATCTACGAGATAACTCAAATCTAATAAAATAATCTTGTTTGCTTCTATAAAAAATAGAACTACCCCAATTTTCAAACCTGTATCCCAAAAAATGGCTTCTTTATTAACAAAAATATATATTTTTTTTCAACTTTAACAGCCTGTAGATCAGGACTGAGCCATCTCAGACCCATTGTTGTTAAGTAAAATATTTTTATTTTTGCCTTCCAAATCTACAGTTACAGTTTGACTCATTACTTATGACTCGCCCTGTATAATACATGCACTGTCTCTATACTAGTAACTCACTTAATATAGGAGATAGAAGGTCGGTTGAATGGGAAATGTTTTAGAGAATTTTATACTGACTTCAAATAAGTTTTCAAAAATTATTAATAGTTATGTAGTTTTTGACTTATTTTAAAAAACTGTAAAGTCCTGATTTTTTTAAATAGCGTAACAGTTAATTTGATATATAAGTATTATAATATAAAGACACTTTTTAATGGAGAATATTTTTCAAAATAATGAATCTATTCCATACATTTGTATCATACTGTATAAACATCGGTAAGGTATAACATTGCTCCATACCTACAACTTAAAAAATCCAACATTACTCTATATAAGATAAAAAAAATTCCGAGAAAGTAGAAAATAGAGAGTGACTTAACAATGGAGTGCAATTATCTTTCGACTACATTAATTGCCCAAGAATCGCAAAAGAGGAAACTGTAAAATTTAAAATGTATTTCCTTTTTTAGGTTTAGCGGTGCTTTCATTCACGTAGTCAAGAGCTCTCTAGGAACAGGAATACTTGCTATGCCTAGAGCTTTCAAAACAGCAGGATTAGCAGTAGGATTTTTCGGTACAATAATAGTAGGATTAATATGTACTCATACAGTACACATTTTGGTAAGTTTATAAAATGTCTCTGTAACAATATAGAACTTATAAAACAATTTTTTCTACACTCACATGGATATTAGCTTATCTACGCACAGACTACAAAACGAAAAAGAATGTCATTGAACGAATACATTATCTATCCATTCTACCTAGTACGAACACTGCACGGATATGAAATCCACCAATCACAGTTAATATTTTGGTCACCCGGCTACTATTATTTTTAAAAGCCAAACTAACAGTCAGTATATATTTTAGTTATTGAGATTAAATATACATTAAATTGAGTTATTCTTATGTAGAATCGATAAATAATAGCATTTCTATTTTTCTTTCGTCTATATTTACAAATAAATAATAAATTTTAATAAAACTATATGAAATAATAAATTTAATTACGAATATTAAAACTAAAATGTTAAGTGTCTCGATGGAGCTGAGACCAGCACATTTGGCGGTCATGCGGGAGGTCCGGGTTTAAATCTAGAAAGGAGACTAATTAAATTAATTGTTTTTTTATTTCTTTTAATGACTAAATAATTTTTTAAATTTTTTGATTATCGTTAGTGGGTCGTAGAAAAAGTATACTATACAACTCGAATGGATTGTCCATATTCACTCTTGTTGCATACACTACTATGACTAGTACCTCAATAATTAATTAAATAAAATTGATTTTTTAGGTAACAGCATCTCAAAAAATGTGTATTAAAACAAAAACACCCAGTCTTGGATACGCAGAGACAGCAGAAGCAGTTTTCCAAAATGGTCCAAAGAAATTCCGGCCGTGGGCGGGTTTTGCCAGGTATTTTATTTTCATTAAAAAAAAAAATACACATCTATAGAGCATTTATAAAATGTAAGATTCTTACATTTAAAAATTACATTTTTAAATCTTACAACAGATCTAATTTAAAATTATAGTAAGAAAAACAAATTAAATTTGACCGTGGCCCAATATCGACTTTTCGAGGTTCCCTAATATTTTCGCTGATGCGTATTCTCATTAACTTTCTAATAGTGTGTCCCGGTGGTGGGAGCTGTCTTGTGGTCTGTCAAGTTCAAAGTAAAATTGCTTATCGTTTTATGCTGGCAGTTAAGCGTATGGTTCTAGATGTCTATAACAATTAAAATATACTGTGCAATCATTTTCTGTCGTCCGAGTTTGATACTTTTGGTGTACGTATTTCGGCCACATTACCAGATACTTACGTTTTTTAACAAAATTCGGGATATAGTTTAAACGCGGTTTTTCTGAACTGAAGATGACATTGCAAACATTTTTTAATATCGGCGAAGGTGTCGATATGCAAAAAAATATAACCTTAAAATATGTGTTAAATACAAAAGTCGAAAAATGATTTAATTGCTCTCAAAATTTTTGTAAGATTCTTAATCAAAAGTATTGCCCTTGCAAGCATTTTGTATATAGTAATTCTACTCCATTCGCCATAAATTAAACTATTTTGATATTGGTATGACCCCAGTATAAGCATCAATCAGTATTGGCACCACATACTTTGATTACAATACGGTACAAGAGAGAGGTCCGACACGCCCAACATAGGGCGCGGCCATTTTGATTCCTATGCCACAGTTTATAGCTAAAGAATCAGATCGCTCACTCTGCGTCGGCACTTTTGATCTCAATGTTCCAGTTTATACACTGCGCAACTCGGATAATACAATATATGACGACCGCCTATAATAAAACAGCAGTCTTCTGTGTATCCTGAATTTGTATCTCTGGAGTGGATGTTATTTTGGAACTTTCAACTGGTCAGAGTGAGCTAACTGATTCTTTAGTAATAAACTGTGACTCCAAAAATAATATTCACCACATCCTTTGATTACTATACGGTGCAAGAGAGAGGTCCGACACGCCCAACATAGGGCGTGGCCATTTTGATTCCTATGCCACAGTTTATAGCTAAAGAATAAGATCGCTCACTCTGCGTCGGCACTTTTGATCTCAATGTTCCAGTTTATACACTGCGCAACTCGGATAATAGAATATATGACAACCGCCTATAATAAAACAGCAGTCTTCTGCATATCCTGAATTTGTATCCCTGGAGTGGATGTTATTTTGGAATTTTCAACTGGTCCGAGTGACCTAAGTGATTCTTTAGCAATAAACTGTGACTCCAAAAATAATATTCACTGACACTGACAGCAGCAAGCACAATATCAGGTGCGTTTTAATCATCCGTTTCTGCTTCCGGAATTGTTGGTTTAGTCGTTTTAACCTATCAGATTAAAACAAGAAAACCGACAATTCCGAAGCAGAAGCGGATGATTAAAACGCACCTATTAAAAATATTGCGCCAAGATGTAGGCAACACGTAATAAGGGATCAAAATGGCGGAGTTTTCTATCTCCTTTTAAAAGGCAATCAGAAAACTGCGCAGTGCGACCATTCTCCGTATAGTAAAAGAAAATCAAAGTATGTGATTGGCACTCTGAGCTGGCATGTTTGATCTTTAAAAGTAGAAATTTTAGTTGACACTTGACGTTTTAAGGATATAAAAAGTTTTCTTTATACGGACTTGGTTATACCTGGTTAGTTGAATTTTTGTTCTGCTGCTTTTCAAATTTGTGTGTATGAGCGAGATGTGAGATACCTTTATAAAGACAACGGTTGAACAACTTAACTACGTTGAAGAAGAAAATCGATTAAATATCAGGGTAGTCTTCGCAAATGTAAAAAGAACAGAACCGTTTTAAAATTTTTTAGGTATGTGATTGAGTGTTAAAACTGTTTGAATTTCGAAACTAAAATATTACTTTTTAGTGAAAAGTTTAATTACTTTTAGTTCAAAATATAACATTAGTTTGTCAATGGAAATGTTAGAATAACAAAATAAAGGTTTTGCTTTATTTCTTAAGAATTACACTAATCTAAAACTTTTCTAGTTTATTGTAGAAATTTATTCTATACGTTATTGTATGTAGTTTTAAATATAAAAATTTATAACCAGACATATTTAGTGTAGTTTTTGTTTATTAGTGACTTATTTTTGTGAATGAGTTCAAGTATGGCAAACGAAAATCGTTACTTTTTATTATGAATTAATTTGAATTTATTTAAAAATGGGAAATATATGTATATGGTTTTCGTAGTTTTTACACTTGTAATAAAAATATCAAAGTTATGTAAATTGGCCATTTACTGCACACATCAAATTCATAGACACAATACATATCACTATTTGACATTCTTATTAAATTTCAATTATTTAAAATTGACTTTAAACTAATTGACTACACACAGAATTGTTTGAAAGCAGCCATAAGGTATAATATATTTATTGGATACTATAAAAAAATTAATAGTAGTTATATGTAGAGTTAAATAACAAGAAATTTAAAAACAAAAACAAAACAAACCTTTATATCTAGTGAACTTAATTTAGTACAGTCCTCAACTTTCTTAAGCTAACATTAAAGATATCTATTTGGACCTCGCTAAGAAACTCATTGGTAACAGCCATCATCTTGTTAAAAGGAGATATACTACTTGGATCTAAACTAAATAATTTTTTGTTACTTGGGATTCTTAGATTAATCTTTGCCGCATTAAAATTTATATTGTCAATCAAATCATAATCTTTGTACTTAACATTATTTAAAATAGAGTACAAAATATATCACAGTCTGTTGCTTTCTTCTTTGTAAAAGAGATTTAATCTTAAAGCTATCGAGCATAGTTTTATATGAGATCTTATAAGGGTACGAGTATTTTTTATGACAGAAAGGTACTGTAAAAATATTTTTTGTACTTTTTCAATATGATCAATATGGGTGGCTTCCAATCCATCTTTGTAAAACATACTCAAAATGGGGTCTTACTAAGGCATTATATAATCTGATTTTGGTGGTAATCCTAAATTTTTTTGTATTTCTGATTTAAAAACCCAGTTTTTATTGCTTTTTTAGTTATTTGTAAGAAATGGTTATTGAACTTCAAATAAGACTGAAAGACAACTTCCAAATCCTTTACCTCATATTCATGATTTAATGTGACAGGTTAAAACGACTAAACCGACAATTCCGGAAGCAGAAGCGGATTATTAAAACGCACCTGATATTTTGCTTGCTGCTGTCAGTGTCAGTGAATATTATTTTTGAAGTCACAGTTTATTGCTAAAGAATCAGTTAGCTCACTCGGACCAGTTGAAAGTTCCAAAATAACATCCACTCCAGGGCCTCAATTCTCGACTTTTTTTCCCATGGGAAAAAGATCATTTTCCTATGGGAATTTATATTTTGTATTCTCGACACATCCACTAGGAATATTTTCTCACGAAAAGTATGGGAGCAAATACACCTGGTATTTGGCATGGGAAATCAAATTTCCAATGGAAATCTGTCACCGGTGACATTTGCTAGTTACTTCAAATAATAATATTTATATATTATTATTACTAATATAACTTTCCTTAAATGGATGAAGCTATTTTACTTTCTCAATTAAACAATATAGAAGAGGCAGAAGAAGAGCAATTAATGTCCCAAGAGATTTTTGGCAGGGGGGGATCCCTTTGAATCCTTAAATGATAGACAATTTCTCAAATATGATCAACGCAAGTTTTCTAGAATAAGCAATCCCAGAATAAATTTTGTTTCATTATTAGGAATAGGCTATTTCAGAATAAATTTTGTTTTATTACGCAAAATAAATAGCAACTGTTAATAACATAATGAGATGGTAAAAAACTTGAAGCTAAAATATTGAACACTCTTAAATATCCTTAAAATTCCTCTGTTTCTGCTATTTTTTCCAAGGCACAAGTTATTTGTTCTTTTGCCAAAACATTTCTCTCTAATAACTTGAATTTTTTGTCATAATAATTTTCTTTATTAAAGTTTTTATTTTGTAACATGCGTTCAATATTTCGGCTAGTATTCAAGGTTTTAGTTAACCTTGTAGCAGCTACTCTTCGTTTGGGCTTTATTGTGCCCCTTGTACTAGGTTTAGCACATTATATATTTACACATTATTTTCTAAATAAGAAGGGTTGATTGTTTTCTCTGACAAGATGGCAAGTGGCAAAACAAGAGTCAAAAGTTGACGATATAATCAATGATCCCAACATTACTACTTGAAAGTATTGAAATATAATATTGATTATGATTGGTCAGTTTCCAATATTTACATACTTAATACCCGACATACGTTAGACATACGAATAATCGGAATTCCCATAGGAAAAAGGTTCCTAACCTAGTCGAGAATACCATTTTATAATACCACTGGAATATAAGCATGGGAATATTTATCCATGGGAAAATTTTCCGGTGAAGTCGAGAATTGAGGCCCTGGGATACAAATTCAGGATACGAAGAAGACTGCTGTTTTATTATAGGCGGTTGTCATATATTGTATTATCCGAGTTGCACAGTGTATAAACTGAAACATTGAGATCAAAAGTGCCGACGCAGAGTGAGCGATCTGATTCTTTAGCTGTAAACTGTGTCACAGGGTTCAAAATGGCCGCGCCCTATGTTGGGCGTGTCGGACCTCTCTCTTGCCTCGTATAGTAATCAAAGTATGTGGGTATGACTCTCAACTAATGGCGCGTTTGAGAATCCACATCGGATGCATTTTTTACATCTCGAGCGTTTTTTTATCCACATCGGACTTATCTGTCCCATTACATTTACGTATACTGAATCACGTGATCAAAGATTTACTACATCTCAGATGCATCCGATGTGGATTCTCAAACGCGGCATAAGAGTATTTTCCTTGCAAGCATTTTTATGCACTAGTTCAACCAGTCAACCAGTGTGCATGACGGT